GAATATGACTAAAGAAATATTATCGTTTTAACTTTACATCCCCTTAAACGTCTCTATTGTCTTGGAAATGAAAATTACAATTTTCGAAACGTCGACTAAAAAAAAATATTTCATATTCTCATTAAATAAATAAATCTAAAAGCAGCTGCTATTATTATTTTATCAATTCTAAAAGGACGGGGGGTCGATAAGAGGCAAAATCAGATGAATAAAATCATTTTTATGTGCCACCATAGGACAAATATCGAGATAACTGCCACGTATTTGTCCAATATATCATGAAGGCAAACCTTTAAAATAATGTGCTATAGCTCATTTTGTAGTCCGTGAAATTCTCTATCGAACGGTATATGAAGTGGGGTGGTTAACGAGAAAATAAATGGATAATTATAAAACATGGACGATATTGGCCTGTCGGTTTGCCGGGATGCTACAGAGTATTTTTGATATTAGACTACTCAGTCCCATTTTGTTCTGAATATTTTCTATAGCATTTTGTGGCCCGTGAAATTTTCTATCGAACGGTATATGATAATTGAGGCTTGCTCTAAGCGAAAGAGATGAAATAATGAAAATACTCTGAGTAAAGTTCATTTATTGAAAGAAAAGTTTTGTTTCCCAGGAGGCACTGAAAAGGATTTTGAAGATCTAAAAATATGTTAGGATAAATCTCGGACAAAAACTATATCAAATCGGTTAATATAAACTTGATCTGTGAGGGGGGCGATTTTGCCTCTTATCGACCCCCGTCCTTTCTACCACTAAACAGATATAATATTTTATCTTAGCATTTGCAAGTATAAAAACAATCGATTAAGAATTTGAAGAGTTTACTGTTTATTAAAGTTATAGATATATATTTCAATAGATAGGAAAAAAGCAAAATAAAAAACCTTGTTGTACTGTTATTCAAATTTTGTTGATGTTGTCGTACTCTGAGAATTCATATTTTCTCTTCCTGTATCTGTTGAGGGTCGTGACAGACGATAATTTGATCCACTACTCAATAGAGTTTTAAATGATTCATATTTTTGTTTTAAATATCGGCCTCGAAGTTTTCCTTGTTTCGTTTTTTCACGAAGTTTTGTTCGTAAAACACTCAATGTTGTGATCGTATTGCCACAAAATAGAACAAAAAATATAATGGCTAATACTCGAACTTGCCATTCATGAGTATATCTTGCATAAGATAAGGTCCACAATGTGTAAGCATTATATAATTGAAATATATAGCCAGCTAATAAAAATGGAACAAGAAATGATAAACCACCTTAAATAAAATTTAAAAAAATAACAAACGCCATCTAGTACCTAAATTTGGAAAGATAATAGAATAAAGATAAGGTGCCCGCAATTCAAAAATACAGCACTATCTTAACTTTCGGTCGAAAGCTACGTAGTCATATAACCCTAACTGAGGTGATTCTGAATAAAGGGATGGGCACAATAGAGGACCCTCCGTATGATAGAAGACCCTTCCCTGTAACAAGATCCCTCGTGAACTCATAACGCAAAAACCACGTTAGAAGACCTGCTTCTTTTATCAATTTTTTTACCTAAAATATGTTGATTTTGGGGTTCAATCAAACACTAATCTTTGTGTTCGTCTTTTTTCTCAGCTGTTCCCAGGTCGAATTCATCCGATCGGATCCTGCCGGATCCTTTTAATTCAGGTGATTTCCGAAGATTGGACGCCCGACCGGATCCGGAGATCGAAATCTGCTCAATTCCTTCGTGTTCCGATATTTTTTTCCTGAAGGATCCGGAGATCGAATGCGATATCCGGAACCAGGCGGATCCGTTAATTTTCGGTGACCGAAAATCGATGGATCCTGTGATATGCACTTTATTTTTTTTCTTTCTTTCCTGTGCGCATAATATATTCATCGTCTTGTTTCACGACAGAAGCACTTTAAATACGATACTACAGAAAATGAAAAATGAGAAGTTGTTCTTCTCAAATTCTTAACAGTGTGAGTCATCGAAAATTAAAAATTTAAGACTTTTTAACCTCAAAATTGGTTACATTCTGCCAAATCCAGCGAAATCCGATTCATCGGCCGGAAGGTCCCAGAATATGCCGGAGAATGTCGGATCCGGTCGGATCTTTCTGACATCTTCCGGCACGGATTCCGAGCAACAGATTTCCGGCATAATCCGGTATGGTTGCTGCCGAATTTTACCCAATTCCGATAACTTTGGGTAGGATCCTGACGCCGGAATGGACGACCTGGGTTAGAGTGAATATACAGCTGCTAGACAAAAAGAAGTGTGTGCGTACACAGCTTTGTACACAGTGCGAACTCTCGATCAAGCGATTTCAGCTCAAAATCGACTTTTTTTAGGGACACTTTAGAAGACCCTCTTCAAGGTTGTGAGCACTAGGACGCGATATAAGACCCGGGTCCTTTATTGCATCCATTCCTTTATCACCTTTTGATTCGAATTCGATCAAGTTTTTGGTAAGAAATCCTTAAAATGATAATGGTATATGTTTCGAAATTTTTCGTTGATTTTCATTTTTTGGTGAAAATCTCAGTAATTCTACGACGTGAAAATTCGAAAAAAACACAGGTGGTCGGCTAGGGTAAAAAAGTATATCATTCGATTCGGTTTTCGACGCTAACTCCGAATATGGTATTTTTATTGCATAAAAAATGAGTTCTGATGGAGAAAATAGAGAATTATGGGCAGAATTCCGATTTTTTCGCTCCCGATTCAGAAAGAATGTACTTCCTCAGGAATGAAACAAATTTTTGGAAAAAGCGATGCGTACTTTTGTTTGCCTTTAAATGCTAATTCGAATGGCGTATGACGATCGGAGAAAAGTTTCAAAACCAGGGAGGAGATAGGTTTGCGAGAGAGATACCTCATTTTGTCGAGCACTTACTCTTGTCAAAATTGTGCAATACAGGTATTTTGTTTTTTGTGACTCAAAGGTACACGATTAGACTCAGTTTTTGATGGTGAATCCGAACATATCAAATTCGAAAAATTACAGTGAACAGAAGATGGCAAAATCTCAAGTTTTCTCAGAGAGATGCAAATCTTTTGTTCTATTGGTGCTCATAGTATTTTGAAGATTTCTCCCCGAAAACTTGATCGAATTCGAATCAAAAGGTGATATTCGGGATCAGCTCAGTTAGGGCTATCTGATTATGTAGCTTTCGACCGAAAGTTAAGATAGTGCTACATTTTTGAATTGCGGGCACCTCACTAATTAGAGTAAATTAGTTGTATATGTCGTTTCGTTTTCGATTTCTTATGAGCGTACAGAGTTTGGCCATCTTACCGAAATGTTAAACATAATTAAAAAATGTATTCTCCTACTTACGAAACATCCATGAATGAAATCCTTCAATTGTTATATCCATATCACGTGTTTCACCTAATGCACGTAAACGATACAAACATCCACGTTGATAATAAAATTGTAAAACCTATAGAAAAAGCAGTAAATGAAAAAAGTCTAATAAGATTATAATTAAATGTGTCTCCTATTATTCAATTAGAGAATTAAAAATGCTTACTTACTTGTACAACACTTAGATAAAATGAAAAAACAAAAAATTGTGTTCTAAACTGATGATATGACTGCGATTCTGGCCATGTTAATAAAATTCCCGTACAAACAGTAGCAATAAAATGATGTGCTCTCCACCATCCATTAATATTTGATCCATTAACAATCAATATTGATTCTCGTATCGTCAATGTACAATAATACCACACTAATAGAAAATGAAATAGAGCATCTAATGCACGTACTTTAATATTTGCAATCCAAACAATAAATGAATATATCATGGTAATAATTGTTATAATAAATTTAAATTTTTCATATTCTTCTTTATATCTCCATTTATCTGATTTATTTAATATTGATACATCAACAGCACCTAGTATTACTCGTAAATATGAGTCTTTTCGTGGTAAAGTATCGGCAATACGATCTAAATATGAATGATGTAAATTTAATTGTTCACCAATTAATTGTAAACGTTCAAGAGGTTTTAATGTTTGAATTTGATCTATTTCATCCATGGATAATGATGGTGTTAACACTGACTGTCGACCTTTTGAGGCTAAATCCGTGGTAGATTGAGATTGTTTCAATTTTAATTTAAAATCAGACACTGATGTCGATATCGTTGTTGATGAAGTTGGTGTTGGTCGAGAAGTACTAAAATATATAAAAGAAGAATTTTAGTCATATATTCAATTATGATCATTACAGTAAGGAAATATGACATACATAAAAATAAAAATAAATTCTTACTCTGTCGTTGTTGTTGATAATTTTGATCGTTGTTTAATAAGATGTTTAACGTCTTTTTGTATTTGTTTAATTTTTTTCATATAACGATCAAATTCTGTTCGATATTTCATTTTTAATTCTTCTACTTCATCCAGTTTTTGCACATATTCTTTATGTTGTGGTTCAAATATTTTTAATTGATTATCTAATTGTATCCAATCATCGTATAATTTATTAAAATCTTTATCTAATACATCTGATGACGTCTCTATTTGACTATTTTTACTTTGTTCTTGTTGTTTCTCAAATGTTACATCACTGTCACCAACTTTTGGTGTGATGGTAAAACGACGATTTTTAGCATGATTATCAGTCGTTGTTGTATTTTTAAGTCCTGTTTGACTGTCGTCAGTCATTTTATAATTAATACGTTAACAGATGATTGCAAACTAAAATAAAAAGAAAAGAAAAACACTTATGTGATTTACTAATGATATATCCAAGCCATAAGATAACCCATTTCTTTTTCTTTTCAAAGTAGAAAATTAACGTACATTTCAAATTAAAATTAAATCAATTAAAAATAAGCAAGATCATTATATACAAGAGCAATTACCAGGTAAAAAACCTAATTCTGTTTAATAATGAGGATATATAAAAAGTAAAATGATTAAATTCGAATTAATTGTCTTCTAATTAGGAAGTTTAGATCTTTGTCATAAAAGTTTTAAGAAAAATCAGATGCAAGCAAGCAGCAAATTTTTATATCAATTATGTCACGAACAAAGATATTTGCAATCTTTCTGCCTATTGTTTGATATTAGATAAAATGATAATCAAATGTAATAAGAAGCGATGTGTGCGAAAATTGGTATTCTGAAACTTTAAATTTAAATTCTATGAAGCTAAGTCCCTAAATTCTGTCGAAAAGTTTTTGCCAACAAATCGGGCGTATAGAACAAATATTCTAGGCAAAAAATGCCTAGTGTCGGAACTGACTACAACATTTTTTTCATTTAATGAAATATTCCTGACGGTTAGAAATAGGAGAAAATGGTACTTGTCGTCCTTGTTGTGGAAAACTGAGAGACTTCTCGTTTTGTGTCCACAAATATCAGAGATGGACGAAAGTACAAAATTTGCTTTTTGGATCTTTTTAGTTGTGGAAAGGAATATATAAAGTACAGTGCTGGATAACTGAATATGCCTTTTAGTTCTTTTACTACGATTACTCCTTCTATGTATTCGGTAAAGCACAACTTCCGGTCAATTACACGTTGAATACAGACTGTATAAAGACTGAAAGGAGTAAAAGATTAAAAGACACTAAAAAGGCTAAGTGTATAACAGGATTAGAAAGGTAAAGCGATTAGAATATAAAACATTGGATTTCAGAAGTAGGAAATAGGTAGTTTATCGCATATGTCAAAAAAGATCTTCGGACAAATTTTTGACAATTCTCCAGTACAGGAAACATTCATTCTACACGCCTGAGTTGTTTGCAAAAACTTTCCGAAGGTAACCAAAGACTTGGTATCATAGAGTTTGAATTTTTCAGAGCATTATCTTTCCATACACATCGTTTCTTATTGAAATTTCTTCCAGTCACTCGAATCAATTTTCGGATTGCCGACAAGCAAAAAAAAATTAAGAATACCAAGTGACTTAAACGTTTGGTTCCCACCATGATTCGATGCCAGTTATGGATATAAGTTTATTTTATGTTTGTAAAAAAACATCACGGTTTTGTTCAATATTTATTACAGAAGAATAATGATCATAAGAAAAATATTTTGAAATACTATACAATCAACACGTCTAGCATTTTTGCTCAAAGACATCATTAGTGCAAAGAAAATTTATTTTAAACAACACGTTCAACAGATTTTCTTTTTCCAAATAAAATCGCTCTTTCTCTCTCTCGTCTCAATTTTATCCTTTTCATCTAAATTAGCTTTAATCAGGGTGAGTAGAACTACTTGTAAACAAAAACGTTTAATCACCTTCACCTCTCTTTTAACATTTGAGGAAAAATTAGAGTCCATACACCAATTCTATTCTTCTTAAATATAAAAAACTAAAAGGATTTTTCTCTGATAATTCTACTTAAACTAAATGGATTTTAAAGTGAAGAAGAATCATTTCTTACAAAAGAAAAAGAATTTTGAACAATGTTGACATAGAACTCATTGATAGTTTCATTTCAGACAAACATCTCAACTAAACCTAATTACTCTTATATGACTATCATATATATAAAAAATCCGTCTTCTCGACGTTTTTTGTCAAAAAACAAAAAAAAAAAGAAGAAGCTATATTTGAAACAAGAAGATTGGCAAAAGCCACAGTTTCTATATCAGAGTGTTTTAGAAAAAAGTCACTATTAAATGGGTATCAAACTATTTTTTTTTTCAACTATTTCTCAATTTGATTCTTCTTCAACTATCTATAATTCCCATTTAAAAACTATCATCGTCTTATTAAATCGATAGTGTTACTAAAAAATAGGAAAGAACGGCATTTGTATGATAGAAAACAAAAAAACAAAAAATAAATTGATTCATTCTTTTTTTCATATAAAATCAATTTTCAATATTCAAATTAATTAGTATTATGGATGCTTTGAGAACAACAAAACAAGTTTTAATTCATCATTTACAACAAAAATTTCCCCTATCAAAACCGACCCAAATAACATCATATCAAAAGTTTGATACAAAATCGATAAGTTCAGAAACATTATTATTATCAGCAACAATAACAAATCATGGCACAATTAATAATAAAAATACTACAGAATCATTTACGTCGTCGTCATATGAACCAATTCATGAATTTAATGATAAAACAAAAAAGAATGGATTAACAGCACTAGAAGCAGCATGGAACGTTACTAATGCTATACAGGTAATACAGAACAAACTCTAAATCTACTCATTTGTATAAGTTAGTTAATAAGGCTAATTAATCTAAGTGTATAAAAAGAGAGAAGATAATATCAAATTCATTCTTATTTCAAAAGAAAGAATCGATTAGTTGTTAGTTTTTTATATTAAACGTTAATCTTAAAGGAAATTACTATGTATATTGAAAATTTTAATATTTAGGGTATGTTTCTTGTTAGTTTGCCTTATACAGTTTATCATGGTGGTTATTGGGCCTTATTGTCAATGATTGTTGTTGCTTGGATCTGCACTTATACAGGAGAAATCTTAATTGCATGTCTCTATGAAACTAATACATCTGGCACGATAATAAAAGTACGACACTCATATGTGGCAATTGCCGAACATGTATGGGGTAAACGTTTTGGTGGTCGATTAGTTTTTATTGCACAAAATATAGAACTACTAATGACATGTAAATATGAAAAATTTAGTTTTTAAATTTCTACACAGTTATATACTATATTCATTCTTTTTACAATTTCTAGGTATACTCTATTTGGTATTAATGGGTGAATTATTAGCTGGTAGTTTTCCACAATTAAATATTCCTGTTCGTGTTTGGATATGTTTATCATGTTTATTTACAATACCCTATTCATTTATAAAAAATTTAAGAATAATATCACGATTTAGTTTTGGAAATGCTATTGTCCATTTAATTATAAATATGATTATTATTCTCTATTGTTTATCAAAATCATCAACATGGAATTGGTCAAAAATTCAATTAAAAATTAATATACAATCATTTCCAACAACAGTAGGTTAGTTAAAAGTTATGAATATATTGTCTTAAAATTTGTTTATTTGAAAGTTAAAAAAAAACAAAAGATTTTTTTTATTTAAAATTTGTTTATGAAATTTTTAGGTATAATTGTATTTAGTTATACATCTCAAATTTTTCTTCCAACATTAGAAGATAATATGTTGTATCCATCTCAATTTAATAGCATGTTAATATTATCTCATATAATTGCATGTATATTTAAAACGGGTTTTGCTCTTATTGGATTTCTAACGTGGCAAGAATTAACGTCCGAAGTCATAACAAATAATTTACCAACAAAACAATTACGTATTCTAATTAATTTAACATTAGCCATTAAAGCTTTACTATCTTATCCATTACCCTATTTTGCTTCATGTGAACTTATATCTGATACATATTTTCGTAATAATCCATTTTCAACATGTTATCAACAAGATACCAAACAATGGAAATGGTGGGCAATTGTATTACGTATATTATTAATTGTATGTACATTAGCAATGGCATTGATTATTCCACATTTTGCACAATTAATGGGTCTAATTGGTTCAATAACTGGTGTCATGTTATCATTAATATGGCCATCATATTTTTATTTAAAATTAAAAGGATATCAATTAACATGGTCAACAATTGTATTCAATATTCTTATTATTCTATTTGGACTAGTATGTACATTAAGTGGTGTTATCGATTCCTCGAAAGAATTAGCAAAAAAATTTCAATTAAAAGTGAATAATACTATACCACACACTTAAGATCTCTAATGTATATTTATATAATCAAAAACTATTTTTGTTCCCTTATATTCTAGGACTAGTATTTATAAATACCCATTTTCTTTACAATAACTAATTCTTTACCACAATCGATTGCAAAATCAACATTTTAAATAAAAAAACAACATTTAAATACAGAAATACTTCTTCTTTGTACACGTCAAACACAGAATATAATCGAAAAAATACGTGACATTTTCAGAATCGATCAATACGTAGTGCGTCTATCGGCAAAACAGGAAAACGAGAATAAAAAAAGGAAGATAACTTAAAAACTATAAGTAGGAAATAGATGAATCAGATAAGATATTTCTTTCATATATTAAAGGAAAAAAAAAGAATACGTAGCCATTAAATACATTCTACGAAATTTTTTTTCTTTATTTTATTCCGTTTTATATTTAATACAAATACATAACAATAACAAAATTTTTTTATAGAACCATACGCATTTAATTAACAAGGATTTTTTAGAAAAATAACAAAATAATAATAAATTGTTTATTCTAGTAGCTTGTTAGTTGTTAGTTCTAGCAGCTGATTGAGGTTGATATTTTCAATTTGACTGAAATAAAAGAAAACAATAATATGATCAGAGTAAGTAAAACAATAGTTAAAAACTACGTACTACTATATCGGCCGTAGGTCGTTTTCTCTCACTACTTTGTGCAATCATTTGTGTTCGATTAAATAAATATTTTGTCTTTTCAATTATGATTTGATATAGTGACATTGTTTGTGTGACCATAACAACTGTACCTTGTTTCGAATCAATTTTAGCATCTAAACTAGTATTACGAATTAAATTAACAATCTAACGTTCAGCTTCATCTGGATTCATGTTCAAATTTTCGACTAACATACTAAAATAAAACAAAAAAAAGATAACATTGATGCTAGATGATGTTAATCTGTCACAAAAAGGTTTAATTGCTTCTTTACTCATATAAGAACTCAATCATATCCAAAAAACACAAAAGAAGTAAAAACTAATTCAATTGTGATACAATGATATATTCGACAAAATGTTTCAAACATAAGTAAACCTGTGTTCTTCATAAATTCCTCGACATATCAAATAAGAAAAAAATCATTATTTAACACATCGCTACAATCTCACAATTTCATTTGAGCACTATCAAAACCAAAACTAACATATAAACATTCAAGAAATTTGATTATCGGATCATGAAAATGCATAAGATTCCTATAATTGAAGGGAAAAAACATGAAATAAATTATTAAACAGTAATTCATCGTCATTAAATAAAACAATTTATTTTCGCTATTTTCAAATTGAAAATGCGTTCTAAGTTGAAAATTTCATTGAGAAAAATGTTGAACAAACAAATAGAAAAATTGAAGAAAAACCTAACCTACTTCGTTTGGTTTAAGAATAACTAAGCTAAATCATCTCGTCCTTTTGAATGATTAAAATAAACAAATAAACTCCAATGAGTAAACCATGTATGTTGATAAAGAAGTTCGAGTGAAGCTTTCGATGTCTACAAAGAGAAAAAAAAATCAGCGAGCTTGTTCTTCTTTATGTCATGTTACCCATACATACATTATTTTCAGTTGCTTCTTTCAAATGATTTAAATCTTCGTATGTTTCGCATCAATGTTGCATGAAAATTTCTGATGTTAATTTTCCCCATAAGCATGCCATCATGTTTTTATCGTTATGTGGTACCTAGGACAAAAAAGCAATTGTAAATGTGTACTAAATCTCACAGCTTTTCACATTTATTCCTTTATGTATTATCCGAAGTAGTAGTACTTACAAGTGTACGATATAGTCATAAACGGGTTGTTACACGCGAATAATCACCACAATCAAACACATAATGTGCAAATATGTATCATGTATCAACAATATTGCGCTCAATCTAAAAAGAGAAAATACATCCAACAAATTAAAAAACACTTCACCACTCTAAATGTACTTGAAATTTTTTGTTATAAATTTTGTAAGGTTATGCTAGTATCACTAAAAACGAAAAAAAATTTAAGTGTGAAAATATTCGACTACAACACCATTGTAAATGGAGAAATAAACTTTATCAATTTTTAGTTCGCTGGCAGACAATTCTTATATTTAAATAATTTGTCCACTGACCGTTAATTTTCAGTTAGTCTTGTAATTTCATCTGTTAAAACAGCGTCTAACTATGGTTGCACAATTGCACATAATTCTTCGTAAGATTGAACAATTTTCCTCGTTTGTCAATTAGTTCTAAAAATGTAAGAATTTTTGTTGTGCACAAGGATACTAAACAAGCGGTTTATGGCAAGTCATGGTTTGAGAAATTACTCATTCATTCTGAGTCTTATCACAGAACTGAAAAAATTTCAATTCGAAGTAGAAATTTAGTTTTGTGTGAGTTCAATAGAAACGCTTAAAGAAAAATGTTTCAAGTACTTTATCAGATCTAATCAGACTGGTTGTTCTTCTTTTTAAGAAATTAGCTCTGTAGACGAGTTAACAACTCTTTTTGAATTAAAAATACAAATAATTTTTTGTAGTTTAATTAATGCATGTTCACCTTTTGGCGCTTATGAAACCGGATACAGTTTATTGTAAATATGATATTGAAAATCAACCATAGTTATCGATTGAAGAAGATCATATTTTGCTTGTAAAATCTCACGTTCATCCAAAATCTGAAATTGAATGAAATGCACTGAAAGTATAGACGAAGCAGAAATTTACATCGATACTATCTACGTTTCTTTCACTTAAAAAAAATAGAAGAAATACAAGATGACGACTAAAATAATACGTAAGTTTTGCTGTTAGATCATATTCAGCTATAATTCAAAGTCGGCAACGTAGAGAAAAGATGTAAAAGTGAATAATTCATATAGTGAACTTTTCGTTGACGAATGATTTCAGAAAAGCAGCTGGCAAGAAGAAAAACTCTACCTTTGATCCTTCTCAGTTGCTTCTTTTCCTTACCCGTCATAGTAAGAAGCACTGGCGCCAGTAGAAACTTAGCAACTACACCATGTAAATGTAATGGAAAAAGATTTTATCGACAATTTCTTGGCCAAAACTGTATAGTGCGAATTAACATCGAATCCTGAACGTAGAATACACGAAAATACAAGATTGGTTAAAAGAATGAAGAAGGGGACAACAAAATGGCCGATGAAAATTTCTCAAATCTAACAATTCTAAAATCTGTTTGCATTTAATTTTGTTTTGGGATCTAGGAAATTTCGGAAAATTTAGTTTGTTTTATTAATGGGTGTGGCAATGTGTGCCTATGACCGTTGGCAAGAATGAACTCCAAGGTGACACCTACAAATAAAGCGTGTGATTGAGTCGCTTAAAACTTGGGCTGAGCATAGATTACGTTCAGAAGTGTCATATTCGGTGACTCATGAGGGACAGAACAAAGGACTGTCACGGTGGTTCCTTTGTTCTTTTCCCCCATGAGGCTCATTCTTTTCCTCATTTTGGTTTTTGTAGGCCTGCCTCGCCTCAAACTAACGCAACGGATCCAACTAAACTTCGCCCTCTCAAGGTGTATATTGATAGGTTACGTATGGTGAGTTTCCATCGCTCACTCACTGATCGACGACTAATAATTGTTAATATACAAATTATAGACAAAACAAACACAAAAAGACTCTGATTTAGAGTAAAGAATTTTTGTATTGAAAAAACAAAGAATGCTGTGCAGACCCTTACTGGGCAGTTGAAACGGCCTAGTCAAATCTTGCCTAGGCGTGACGGCTAGAGCCAGACAAGTCATCCAGTTTGTAGTTAACCCAGTAATTCTGGAGGGACGGTTGTCCGTAGTCGGATAATAGATGACAAAGAACCAATGGTAATAAAAAAATGACTCCAGTCAATGATCACTAACCACTACTTACAACACTGTCTGATATGTCTACAAGGTTCCATTACGCAATTCAACACAATTATGGATTTCTAGCTAGAGCATTTTAGAGAGGTAAAGTAGAAAGTAAGAGTGACTGAATACCCAAATTCTGAGTGCTTCTAACTCCTAGAAAATGATGTTTTTACAAGTTTGTTTTAACAAGTAGTTCAGCACAATCCTTTGAACAGTAAAGAGCTAATAACTATTGTGTGTGTGTAAAAAGTACCTTCTACAACGGATATTTGGGGTACCATAAAATTCAGCGAATCTAATGACGGCTTTAGTCCCTAACACGAAAAACTAGATAAGCTTATCCCTTGTCCGCACTTTAGAAAGCCTGTTTGGACCGCCCATGCTGAACCAACATTTAACTTCGAAATTGACCAAACACCATTTTTCGATTCAGTTTTCAATGCTGAATAAGAAAAAAATATTCTGAAATTTGTATAGTTGTCAGGAACTCAGATATTGAGCCTTTTTTTAAATTGAAGGATTTTTCGACTCTTTGGGTTCTTCAAGTATTTCTAATTTTTTACCCTCAAAAATGTGTTTTCTTATCACCGGAACAAAAAAATATAAAGTTGATTTTGAGTTTTTGAAAAGTACTTTTTCGTATCCAGCACACTCGATAACCCAGAAGGTTTTCTATTTTTGGCAAGGAGTACTTCCAAAAGTTTAGAAAAAATTTTGAAATAAAATGGCACAAAAAAGTTTTCATGGGATAATAATAGTAGTTTGAAAAATATTCCTAAACTTTTGGAAGTACTCCTTGCCAAAAATAGAAAACCTTCTGGGTTATCGAGTGTGCTGAATACGAAAAAGCACTTTTCAGCAAATCAAAACCAACTTTATTTTTTTTCCGATGGTATGTTTAAAAATTAAAAATTCTTAAAGTTCTTCATCAGCTCAAAATGCTCTATCCAATGATGTATAATAAATTCAAAAATAAAATTTTGCTTTAATTTTATTTTGTACAGTCTGCGAAATTAATCAGATTATACCAATGCAACAAGGAAACAAAATCTTAGTAGATACAAGATTTCCAGTGATGTGTCCAGTGCTCGAGTCTAATAAAATTATCAACGAACATGAACAACTTTTCGAATTTATTACAGTTTACTGTGTTTAAATATTTTAGGTGTTCAGCCATATATCTAATATGCAACCAACGAGAAAAAGACTTTTTTTTATTTCAATTCGTCTTGGATTGTTCTCTTATTTTCTCTATTCCTTTTTTCCTTAGTTTTCTACAACGTGTCGATGAAAGGCTATTAGTCTTTCTACTATAATTCATACAGTCATATAATATGAATGTGAAAGAGGAGTGCTGTCGTAATAGTAACACGCAATCTTATTGCAGTTTTTAGTTAGTCGAAAAAAGGTTGATTCTATGAATGTCTCTTTGAGCGATGACCCTTTGTTCATTGCTCGAGATTGTTTTCTTGATTGTTCGGTGAAATACGAAAAAGCTTTAGGCAGAATTTACCGATTACTCCGAAAAATTTCCATAGGTAAAAAATTAATAACGTTCGTCGTACGAAAATTGGCTTGACATATGCAGACTCCATTCCCTTCATCTTTTCAAAACCTATAACTAATTACCGATTAAATAGTTAATAAAAAAAAACTGATACAAACAGCTGGATCCAACTTCTTTGAGAGATAATCTGTATAGGTGAAACTACTGTTTATTGAGAATATTCAAACTACTCTTTGTAATTCTGCCGTATTTAGTCGTTCAGTAGATAGCCTACCTGTACTTGAAACTACAAAGGCATGCTACATCACATTATTTTATCATCGTTTACTTTGTCTTCCATACCATACAACAAAAACAGGAAAAACGTGTTCATATCAACGAGTAAAAAACGTTTTGTCTATTTAACATATAATATCATAACTATGTAAACAGATAACACAAAGTGCTTTGTTATCCCTTGTCGTTAATTGAAGAAGAAGGCAGTTGAAATAATCTTGAATATTTTAACTATTCAGGAGCTATAAAATTTATTTTTATAAGTATTACCTTTAAAGTACGTATTAGTTAGAAAAATTTGTACATAACCCGTTTCTTACCTAGAAAACATTTTTTTCAGAAGAGGTGAACGAGACGTATTTATCTGTTTAGGTTATTAAAGTGAATGTTTGTACTTATTCTCTGTTTCTCTACATTTTATTATTAATTAATTGAAAAGATTATGTTTTTCATTATCGGCATTCTCTGTTGCGTTGTTTCTATAACATATGGAATTAACAATGGACTCGGACTCACACCACAAATGGGTACTATGAACTGGAAAATCTTTTTCTGATTCTAGTCTAATAAAAAAAGATCATCTTATAGGTTGGAATTCTTGGAATCATTTCGGTTGTTCCATTAATGAAAAACTTATAAAAGCCACAACAGATGCACTCGTGATCAGTGGACTTGCAGCAGCTGGCTATGAATACATCAACTTAGATGATTGCTGGCAAATAAGTCGAGATGCTGATGGAATTATTCAACCCGATCCACAAGCTTTTCCAAGTGGTATTGCCGCCCTTGCTGATTATGTGCATTCAAAAAAATTAAAATTCGGTTTATATTCAGGTATGTGGGTTATGACACATGAAAGACATTCACAGTAAGTCGAATATATTAGAATTACCCATTTTCATGAGTTTAGATGCTGGTTATAAGACATGTGGTGGACGCCCAGGTTCGCTTGGGTTTGAGATAAAGGATGCAAACACCTATGCATCATGGCAAGTTGATTATCTCAAATACGATAATTGTAATACAGATCAAACGATTCCGGAAAAACGTTATCCGGTAATGAGAGATGCATTAAATGCTACTGGTCGACCGATTTTTTACTCAATGTGTGAATGGGGAGTTGATGATCCAGCCTTGTGGGCAGCTACTGTGGGCAATTCGTGGCGTACAACCGGTGACATCAGTGATAATTGGAATTCAATGATTTCAAACATAGATATCAACGATCGTTATGCTGATCATGCTGCACCTGGCGGATGGAATGACCCAGATATGCTCGAAGTTGGAAATGGTGGAATGACAAATACTGAATACATATCACATTTTAGTATATGGGCTATATCGAAAGCACCGCTGTTAATCGGATGTGATGTAACAAAAATAAGTCAAGATACATTGAATATTCTAACAAATCCAGAAGTAATCGCTATTAACCAAGATTCGTTGGGTGCGCAAGGAAAAAAAGTGGCGACTTATTCAGCTCGATACAGCAATACGACTATAACCAGTGTTGCGATAGCACCCTGCTTAGCAGAGGATAATAATTTAAAACAACAATGGGAATATGAAAGTTCGGATGACAGTATTCGAAGTAAAGTAGATGGTAGATGTTTGCAAGTACATGATTATACATTAATGACGTCGAGGTAATTACTAACCATTTTTGCAATCAACTTCAGTCTCCTAGATGATTGAAACATGTAAATTCTCTTCTTACTGTAAGCTGTAATAAAGCTTTTACGAGACCAAAAGCATCCGTTAAGAATAAAGAATTTGTTGACATTCAGACCTACTTTTTGGGCTTTATTTAACTGGACGTCGATAATAAGTGTTTTCCATATAATTGTAGTGACAAAGAAGCAGCATCTATTGTTGTTGGTCTCTGCACAATAGGTGAACCGCAAATGCCGTGCAATTCGTTGAATCAACAATGGAAAGTAACTTCAACGATCGACGGTGAAATGCAAACATTTTTAGATGGAAAGTGTTTGGATGTTTACGGAAATACTGGTCCAGGTGTGGATGCATTTAGTTGTAATAAACAAGATAATCAAAAATGGAACTGGAATTCACAAGATTCCACCGTACGAAGTAAATTAAATGGAAATTGTTTAACAGTTCAACAAGAATTAGAAGTATGGGCCGGACCGCTAGCAGATGGATCACTAGCTGTTATGCTATTGAACCGAGGTGTTAGTAATGAACCAATGACAGTGAAATGGACAGATATTGGATTGAAAGCACAACAGTCTGCACTCGTTCGAGATTTATGGAAACATATGGATTTAGGAACATTTACTGGTATGTATGCTGAACCAATGGTTCAGTCGCACGGTGTTGTCATGCTGAAAATAACACCGATAAAGTAATATTGCACTATTCTTTGATACTCGATTTCTACTAGAAAGAAGCAATAAGTGTGATTTATTGTTTTGGTTGCTCAAATAGATTATTTCTTAGCTGTTTATTGTTATTTATAGATTATAATTTAAAATTATAGTAAAGGCTTCTCTTTTATGAAATTCCACAATTAAACGAAAAACTGACGTCGAACTATCTCTCAGATATGATCCTGTTTTCGTTGCTGGTGACTAAGAAAATTATCTATTTTAGTAAAATAATAATTTTACAATTTTTCATCAATAATTATGCAAAAAACATGATCGATCATAAAAAAAATGTGGCAGTATTACGCAGTTGGTCGATGAATGATAAATTTAACTTACGCATGTTTAAGCATAATCTTAACAATCACGTATAAAAGTTTACCTATAGCTTAGATCATTCAAACAAATGTTGAAAATGAAAAAATTGTTATTTATGTGAATGATTCACTCTCCGAAATCTTTGGACTTCTCAGAACGAGTTTTAATGAACTCATAATGATAATATGACTTCTGATATCATGATATGACTAATGATTAAAGATAAAAAATAAAACGGAAATTTTTTTTAATCATTAAGTTGAAAAATGAATCGAATAACGAAACTGAAGGTGAACATTAATCAAACACGGAAGGCACGTACAACTAGATGAACTACAATAACGAGACACTTCTCAGTTTGGCAACTGAGAACAATTGTGGACAATTACCAGGTAGCTCTATCATGACACAAAAAAATCGAAGAAAAACAGTAAGAAGCATACTACGAATACAAATTCTGATAATTCCTAGCTACAGTTTATTTATTTACACAGGTATTTTACTGATTCTACAGAACTTCTCTTCAAAAGAGCACATAAGCCATTGTGTTAATATTGCTTAAAGAGAAGGAAGTTAACTAAGACTAACAGTCTGTTATTCTTTTCTTGATTAGTGCCGTATATTCTGGTAAAAAAATGAAATCTAAATGTTAAACGTCTCAGATAAGAGATAGTCAAAGCTCGAAGTATATAGTTTCTTATTTTATTTTATTTTTGCCATTATCCATGAAATATAACTAGAAAAACAAATAAAAAAAACAACGGTATACCATTAATCAAGAATCCACTTTCATCTGTGTTTCATCTTCATCTAATTTTAATTCAGACATCATTTCCTCTAAACCAATTTGTGGAATATCAATGGTCTCTTTTTCATCGTCGATTTGATGCAATTTCTTTTCATCTAAATATAGATAAATAGGTTGAAGCTTCTAATTCATATTTAAGAAGAATGCTATCTTTACCTTTATAAATCATAACATTTTGACGTAATGTTGGGTCTTCTTCAAGATCCTCCAAAAAGTCGGTGTAATCCCTAGAACAAAAACAAATATGATAAGCACTAATGAGTTCGTTAGAAATATCAGTGAGAGATATTGCTAGTTATTTAGCGTCAAAACGTACCTGTCATTAGATGTTCCGCTAACAGCATCTTCAACATTCAAATGTTTTAATTTCCATTTACGTTTTCGATTTCTTAAACTTTTATCAGCATACAGTTTTTTCACAAGAATCTAATCACGACAAAACAATATAAATGATTAATTGATTTTAGTAGTCATACTTACAACATCAGGTAATTTATCCATATTATACGTTTCTAAACTGGTATTACTGACATTACTGTTTTGCAAATCAAAGCTAAAAGATAAAAACAATTTACATAAGAGTTCAAAAGCTAGATTAAGAAATTTACCCTAGAACAGAATCGCCTGGATGTAATAAATGTCCCAAATGTGTAATTGTAATATATTGTTTATCAACAAAACCAATTTCAGATGCTTTCATTACATAAACTTCAGCTAATGCATGCTAAGAAAAGAAAAACAGGACTATGATAGGATCAATCACAATTATTACACAAAACAACATATTTACTTTTGTTGATTCTTTTCCATAAACGTGAGGCTTGCCATCTGAATCGATTAGGTTTACATCACAAACAATATATTCTACCAAATGTTTTGAGTCGCATATTGACTGAAATGGATGTCGCCAATATTCTGTGGATGATATGACAGCAACTAAAAATACACAGATTAAAATTAGAGCGTTTATTTTAGAATTCCGTGACAAATGAATTCGATGTATATTTGCGCAATATTAATTTACTTTTCAATGTTTGTGGATCGATCAAATAAACATTTTGTGTAATTTTGGAACAAATGCAAATAGGACCAATATTTCCTAATTGTTTTGAATGTTTCATCGATAAACAAACAACGTCATCCTAAAACATAGGAGTACCGTCGCAATAAAGTTCAACTATTTGTTACAATAGAAAATATCAGTAAATAAAACTTTTTTTGTTGTTATTTGAATCTTATGAACATTCAGAATCAACACCATTCAGACTGCTGTTCAATATTTTAGAAGTGTATACATATAAATAGGATAAAAATTGTCATTTTAGTTTTGCTAGTTGCATCAATAACTATCGGCAGGTATAAAAAATTATAAATATTTCAACATCTTACTTTACAGATTGGTACAATTTCAACAGCATACGTATATTTATAATTGTAAATATTACTGTGAATATCGTGTGATACTAAACTCTTTGACGATTCAGATCTAATTTAGAAAAAAAACGCTAATTATATACACTGAAAAAATAATTGGCACAGGATATAGTATACATACGCGCAAGGAACAACACACGACAGAAAATCAAGAAGTTTTCTCGCATGATTTTGTTCGGCAAAATAGAAATCAAGACCGCCTAAAGAAAATGAAAACAACAATAAATGTGAAAATTGCAGATCAAAGTTAACTGTAGAATTAAAAGGGATAATGATGACAGAGTAAACATTATTGAGTAGAAGTAGAAAAAGTGATAATTCGATACACATAATTTTGTGCTACATTAGAAGGTTAAAGCAACCTACTGTGATTTTGTTTGATTTGAGTTGTATCAGTATGAGCATTATGTTTAAGCAACAGTTGTTCTAGATAAAAAAATGTTTTCTTATGTGACGTCTAGAATACACAAGAAAAAACAATTAGCATTTTCAGTTGTATTTCTTTGACAGATTACTAATACCCTTTGTCGAACTTGAACAAGTGCCTTCCAATAATCTTTCGCTTCGATACGTTGACATTCATCACATATTTGATTCAAAATTGTAAATTCAACGATAAATGTTTGCTGAAGAATTGCTCCAGTCATAACCTGTAAACAACATAATAAAAAGTCAATTTGATGAATATCAAAAACAACAAGAAAATCTCTTACCTCTTTTTGAACAGTCAGTTTAACTTTCACTCGTTTTGAATGTGGCTCTGTCCAAATGAAACCAGCGTCAGTTAAACGAACCTAAATATCAGTAATCTGATATTAACTATCTTAATGATTTTATAACTAGCAGATCATGCGGCAGCATAACAAATGAAATGTACTGTGAGAAAATTAAAGCATGCGTTTCATATCTATAATTATTTATTAAAAAATTATTTCAAATTTCAAAACATACTTCTTTATTTAATCCTTTGATTCGTTTTAAACAAACTGTTAGAAGTTCTCTTGATTCTAATTCTGCACTAATCCACGTATTTGGCGGCTGTAAATAACTAAAAAAACACAAAATAAAAAATAATAATCTAACTTTGTATTATTTTCCTCTTCGTTTGTATCTACCGTATGCATTTATTACACATCTGCAATTGTCCCTGTTTTGGTATTTGATCAGTTATATCGATCTGCGTTTGCAGACAACCCGAGCACATATTGAGTGCGTTTGGTTCGATTAATATACCACATTGACAGCATAAACTAAAAACAAATGAAAAAGTTTTCATTATAGTATAAAAAATTACATTTCTAAAAAGTCCAGTTTTCACAAACGTACATTTTTCCTGTTATTGGCGCGTCATTATTGGATGGTATAATGTATTCCATGACTTCGAAGCTAAAATATTGAATTGATAAACAGTTTTACAAGTGATACGCAATCTCACACAAGCAAGTCCCTTCCATTAAAATATCAACGAAAAGACCGTTTCAATTATCGACGGCGACGGAAATTTTCTAATGAGTTAGCCTTATCCGAACTTTTCTTTTAGAGTTGTAAAAATCACTAAGTTTCAGCGTTAACGATCTATTTTATCAATATTCTCATATTAAGCATAGATTTAAGTCAGCGTTTCTCTGTAATAATTTCTTATTGTTTATTCATAGTGTTGAGGAAGAGAACTTTACACTACACAAAGGTTCTATTTATGTTCAAATTAGAAAAATACACAGTTAAGAGTTACTCTAGATTTTTCACGAAATGACACTAAGATATTATGCAAGAATTCATTGAAACCTCGCTCTTATGTACATCTCACTCTGATTGGTTACATTTTGCACACCAATCAGATGTGTAAGAAATCAAATTAGAATAAGATGTGTTGTGAACGTGGTTTTTAAGCCTGTCAACGCATCTTATATAAAAACAAAATTTAGTGATTCAGCGTTTATATAGGTTTTATTGTGAGATGAGTGTAGTTTTAGGTGCTTAAAATGTTTTCATATAATCGCGCTAGACTAATGTTTCCCTTTTTAATCAACGAGAAGGTGTTCATTTATCTCCTACTCTGTCGATTTTAGCCATAGACCAACTGATATTTAAGAGTGTATCGATATAACGCACAGCACTAGTGACATTTTCTCGTACCCGATGTGTTGAATTGTAAGTTTCAAATAAATGCTATGAAACTGAGTTCATCAAAGACATGAAATGTAATACAAAATAGGCTACTGGTATAACTTCAGTGCATTCAACATGAAACCATTTGTGTATGAGTCACAGATTGTCATTAATATGAATTCACCACTGTTGGAAGTAAACCAGCAGACGGCAGTGAATGGCGAGCGAATTGGACTGACGAGAACGTTTCGATGACACAGTAGATTCATGCATATCGATAAATAAAGAACAAGAATATAGAAAAGAAGTAGAGAGAAAGACGAAAGAGTTTAACGAGTAGAGAATCAACAGTTGGTAAATCATGTATAAATCTGAAACGATAGAGGTATCGGAACAAATTGCCAATTGGAACAGTTTCAATGTGGAACAGATTAATCAAAAATGAGGAATATCAATGATGTTCGTCGCCAGAATTGGAGTTGGAGCCAGAAAATTTTCCCCAGATAGGCCAAAATTTTCAAAGTGAGGGACAGTCAGAGAGACGGATTTGCACGATGGATCAATCTTCAGATAAAGGACTATTCCTCGCTTTGGAGCAACCTTGTCTTCATCTGTTTATAATGTGCATCTACATGAAGAGACCTATCTGGACTCTCCCTTAGATTCGAACATAATTGCAAAATAATTTCTATTGTTCACACGCTTTTTGCTGAAAAAATGTGTGAAACTATCAGTTCAGTTTTATATACTGTTGAAATGCGAACGACCACGTGAACAGAAAAATGAATTAGATTCAGGACAATATAAGCTTTCGTTATTGACAGTGTATAATATTAGTTAAATTGTAGATCAAAAAAGATATTATTATATAACGAATAATGGAAGAAATTGGCATAATAGCTCCAAAAGAGGTAAAGTTATCTGTTCTTTCAGTTGATATTTCGGTTAGATTACTTTTTATTTTTGTTTTAGGAAGAAATTGTTCGGGAACCTGAACCTAAAATAATCCACACAAACTATGCATTATCATCTCAATATGAATCACTTGATGCAGATGATTTATATACAAAATATAAAGTAAAAATTAAGAATTAGATAACGTATTTTCTTTTGTATAGATTAACTACAAACATATTTTCTTTAATTATTTTAGAAACTTCAACGGCAATTAGAATTTTCTGAAGTACAAGAAGAATATGTTAAAGTTGAATTAAAAAATTTGAAAAAAGAAATGTTACATGCACAAGAAGAAATAAAACGAATTCAAAGTGTGCCACTTGTTATTGGACAATTTCTAGAAGCAGTCGATCAAAATACAGGCATTGTCGGATCAACAACAGGTAATTATTATAGAATGTTAGTATCACGGTTTTGTACCATATTGTTATTTAACTATTGTGAAAAAATCTTACATTTGCTACTGAACATCGATTAACCACATTGTTTTTTGTTAAGGCTCGAACTACTATGTTCGAATATTATCCACAATTGATCGTGAATTATTGAAAGCTGGTGCAAGTGTGGCATTGCACAAACATAGTAATGCACTTGTCGATATATTACCACCAGAATCGGATAGTAGTATATCCATGCTTCAAGCAGGTAAGAAGAAACAAATCAAACAACTGTCATAGTTTATTTCACTTCTTTTTATAGATGAAAAACCTGATGTTGATTATGCTGATATTGGTGGACTTGACTTACAAAAACAAGAAATACGAGAAGCTGTAGAATTACCATTAACACATTTTGGTGCGTTTAATATAATATTCTCATGCAATGCATTGCTGTGCACAGTTTTTTTCGTTTTTGTCCTATATATGTCAATCTGTTTTCCAAATATACACGTTTTTTATTGTAAACAAATACTTTGAAATAACTTTTAGAATTGTACAAACTGATTGGAATTGATCCACCTCGAGGTGTACTTATGTACGGTCCACCAGGTGAATAGAACCAATATTTTCGAAATTTATAATGTTTTATGATTGTTTTTGTTCAGGTTGTGGTAAAACGATGTTAGCCAAAGCTGTTGCACGACATACAACAGGTGACTTTGTTTTAGTTTAAAAAAAAAGATATACACCTACAATATTTTTCTTCTTTATCTAGCATCATTCATACGTGTTGTTGGATCAGAATTTGTACAAAAATATTTGGGAGAAGGCCCACGTATGGTTCGAGATGTATTTCGTCTTGCAAAAGGTATAATCATTATTAATAACGAGAAAAATAGAACACTTTTATTTATTTTACTTTATTTAGAAAATGCTCCTGCCATTATATTTATTGATGAAATTGATGCTATAGCTACAAAACGATTTGATGCTCAAACAGGAGGTACGAAAAATTTGTAGTGTTCTTTAAAGAGCTACTTTTGACAAAATACGAAATGAAAAGTAGGCCATGAAACTGAGTGAAAGTCGTTATTTTTTAGCTGACCGTGAAGTTCAACGTATTCTATTAGAATTATTGAATCAAATGGATGGATTTGATCAGAGTATCAATGTTAAAGTAAGAATTGAAATAACGTTACATTTTTTACAAATTCTTGATATATTTTTCTTTCTTTTTTTCAAAATAGGTAATAATGGCAACAAATCGTGCTGACACATTGGATCCGGCGTTATTAAGACCTGGTCGTTTAGATCGTAAAATAGAATTTCCGGTACCTGATCGTCGACAAAAACGTCTTGTATTTTCAACTGTAACATCAAAAATGAATTTAAGTGAAGAAGTTGATTTAGAAGATTATGTTGCTAGACCAGATCGAATATCGGGTGCTGATATTAATTCTATATGTCAGGAGGTAAGACGCATATTATCCTCTAGAAAAACTTTGATCAATGAACTGATGTCATTATTTTCGTCATCGATATTTTAATTTGTTTCTTAGGCTGGTATGCAAGCTGTACGAGAAAATCGTTATATTGTATTAGGAAAAGATTTTGAAAAAGCTTATAAAAATGTTGTAAAAAAAAATGAACTAGATTTTGAGTTTTATAAATAAGTAGTGTTTTCAACACAATCTTTCACTTCTTTTTTTCTGGTTGGTTTTTTCCGTTTTATTAAAAGAAGACAACAACACTAAATGAAATGTTTTTCTTGTTATTCTTTATTGTTGTTGTCTAAAAATTTAGATTTTTGTTAAAAAAATTAAAACTCAAACATTCTCAACGTTATTTTTATCATGATTAATCTTCAAAATTAAGATTTTTTTCATACTGTTTGTTTTCACAACTTTAATAATGAATATTAGAGTCTTTGTGTCTATTTAAACATAGAATTAACGTTACTTTTAGATGAAATCTGTTAAATTGAGATCAATATATCAAACGATTTTCGTCCATTGTTAATTCATCGAAATGCAGATTCTTCGTTTAGATTTGAACAAACAATACTCAAAAATACTTAATAATATCAAAAGAAAATACTCATTAATAATTCTTTTATTTAGTTAAATTCGAATACATTTTGCTCATTATTATGACTGTATAAAAGAGAATCATTTGAATCGATAAATTTTGTGATGAATTAAATAAAGAACAATAATCGTATACAAATTATTCAATGAAATTAAAATTATTGTTATTAAAAAGAAGAGTCGTAAGAATTTCTGAAGCTACTACATGAGTTTATGCAAAGCTAGTAAAGTTTTATTTCAATTATCGTAACAAAATCTATTATCATTACAAAAATTACAACCAAATTGCTAAAAGAATTACTACAGTCCTTTGGCATCAAATTTAGGGTGGAAAATTTTGATTTTCTCAACCTTGTAGAATAACTTTTAAAGCGTCGTTCTAGGCTTCTAGGCTTAAAAGATGTAGAATTTTGTCTAGTATTTAACGATATGCTTCGGTTAGAATATATCGTTATGCATTCTTTAAAACGTCCGAAATAGTTAACTCCTCCCAAAACTACCCTATTTTTATCTGAACAAGATTTTTTCCACTATAAGACTATGGCTTCTTGAACCGAACATATTGACAGCAATTGCAAAGAATTTCTAATTTTCTGTTCTATAGAAACAAAATTTTTAACTGGACTGTTACCTTTTAAATCTTATACAAAAAATATGCGTGTGTGCTTAGTTTTTCAAACTTTTCGTTTTTTGTGGAAATTTTTGAAAAATTTTCTAACGGAAATGTGGAGTTTTTCACCATAGGAAGGTTTAAGAAATAAAACGATAAAAGCTTTTTCGAAATTACAAATATGGAAATTTTCCAAAACTTTTACCATTTATGGACAATTTTCAAACTCACGG